ATTTAAAATCAATGGTTCATTCATTAATTATTGAGGTTTAAATCTGCTATAGGAATTATTAGGATTTGTTTAGGGTTTGTTTATGATTTGTTTAGGATTTGGTTAGGATTTTTTTGGATTTGACTAGGATTTATTTAGGATTTGACTAAGGTTTGTTTAGGATTTGTTTAGGATTTGATTAAATTTTGGTCAAGATTTGTTTAAGATTTGATTATGATTTGACTAGGATTTTATTAAGATTTATTTGGAATTTATTTAGGATTTGGTTAGGATTTGTTTAGGATTTGATTAAGATATGTTTTGGATTTGATTAGGATTTTTTTAGGATTTTATTAAGATATGTTTACGATTTGATTAGGATTTATTTAGGATTTAATTAGATTTGATTAGGATTTGATTAGAATTTAGTTAGGTTTTGATTAGGATTTAATTAAAATTTCTATTTTAATATTCTATTAAGATTTCTATTTTAGTATAGTTTTAAATTTCTATGTTATTTTTTTTATTCTTTAAAGAATTTCTAAGAATATTTTGTGCTTCTTATATAATTTTTTTGAAATTTTGATTGAATTTGATTGATGTTTGATTATATTTGTTAATCTTTAATTATAATTTGTTTAAGAATCTATTAGAATTGTTAGGACTTGTTGTAATTTTTTTTTATCTTCCATAGCTAGGTGCTTGATGCATTCTCAAGCCAAATGCCATATATTATGATAGCATAAACATTGGCTCTAATACCAATACACATTGTCATTTTTCTTTTATAATATTTCTAAGTCAAACCTTTAGGTTATTATCCCTTTAATATACTTTAATGCTAGGCTCAAGGTATAGGCAGCAAGTATGGTTAGATATTTTTTCTTGAGTCATGGACGTCTTTCATGTGATTTATAAAATTCAATTTTTTTATTATGAATTACAATCATGTAGTCTTAGTTCAAATCTCAATAGAAATATAATACTATCAACACTTAAAGTAGTGACTAAACTAGAATTTTCTCTACGTGAAAACATATTGAGTTTAAATCAAATGATTATCTTTTTTTGTCTCTAAACTAATATTTTAGTAATTCTACTTATAATCCACTTCTTTTAATAGATGAAAGTGTCTTTTTTGATAAATTTCTTTTCACTTTATTTTATTTTTAATATATTTTATTTTATTTTTTATTTTTTATTTTTATTTTTATATATAGACCGTGTCAAATACAAGAGCTAGGTTCTTTCTATTCTTACAAATAGTGCCAGATGGTCGCCATATGTGAGTCCTATAAACTGATTGTAATTGGTGGATTAATTAAAAACTTAATTTTAAGTCATTTAATTATACAAATGTTAAGATGAGAGAGTCTTTTTGGCTTTCCAAGTATTTATTATAATTTAGAGATATTCATAAGTTGCAAAAGTCTTATTTGAAAGAAAGTTATAAAGATGGACTCTTTATAAGACTTAGAGGCAATCATCTTAATTAGTTTAGAATTTTTTATTATTAAGTATTAAGAGTTAATTATTGAGACCAATATCTTCATTGGCTTCCTATCTACATGTATTACTTATAAAATCCTATCAATAATTAGTTAGTAGTTAGAAGAAGCATAAAAAAGAACCTCATAATTTTTTAATTAATTATATAGAAAATAGGATTTTTAGTAGATTTAAACTGATTTTATTACTATAAAAAATCACAAAGATAGAAAAATATAGCTTCATATAGTTAACATTATTATAAAAATATTATAGGATTTTTTAAAATTTATTTAGAATTTTTTTTTAGAATTTTTTTTAAAATTTTTTATGAATTTTTAGAGAAAATTTCAAGATTTTGGTTAAATTGAGTTTTACCATCTTGAGAGCCATTATGAAGAAATGAAGGAAGATTTGAAGGCTATACAAGATTTTTGGGTAATTTTGGTGTTTTTGAATACCATAGTGAAGTCAATAGAAGTGCACGTATGAATCTAACTTGAGTAAATCCATCGGAGTATTAAAAAGGATGTAAATTCAAATAGAGCTTAATTTGTTACAAAAATCTTCAGAATTTTGATCTTATTCCATTTAACTTCTCAAGCATACTAATCTTTATTTTTTTGTGCTTATACAAGTAAGACTTCTTAGATTTGGTTGTAAAATTGATCTACTTACTTTTTTCAACTACATAACTTCTTAGTATAGACTCTTGAATTCTTTCATATATATAGAAATAGTACCTCCATAATTTATGTTAGAAATATATGGCATTTCTATACTTAGAGTGTTGACAAGCTCATGAAGATCTCCATTAGTTGCAAATCTATTTTCACTTCCATTAAGAGTAGCATCCATAATCATTCATTTCATAAATAATTCAAAAAAATTCAAATAATTAAATTAATAGAAGATAATCCATAATCTTTAATTTCAAATAGAAATTTTAATAAAAAAAGATAATTTAATCTTTTTAAAGAAAGAATCAATGTTAAAAAATTAAATTATTTATTTAAAGGTGGATAGTCTCTAACCTTCAAAACACAACAATAGAAGTGAAATAATTCACTCACTTTTAAAACAAGATAAGAATAATAAGTTAGCACTCTTGTCAAATTATTAAAGACATGAATCTCAATGAAAGAAATCTTCAATATATTCTTATGTCACTCAAAAAGACTAGTAAATCACTCAAAGATGATAATATATTGAATTAGAATAGTTATTGTCAAAGATAAAAAGACGAAAAAGTCTTGAAATAAGATTGAAGATTAGAAAGGCATTTACAAAAGTAAAGAGGGCTTTATTCTTGCCTCTATATATATATATATATATATATATATATTCTAACTAAGAGCTATGTAGCAATATGCTATAGGACTTCCAATACTTCTTAACTTTGCTAGACATATGTTTTAACTTATAAGGCAAGTTATCTATATGTGAGCCATATAGTTAATTTGTTTTACAAGCTATTAATACGTGTGATACATGGCTAACTTATTGACAAAGTTTCTAGCCTATTAATTAACTACAAATACTTATAAAGTCAAAGCAGCATTTATAAAGCTTTTAAGAAGTTTCTCTAAAAGATACTATGAAATTAATCTATTTTTACCTACTTCTATTTAATCATATAGGTAATTATTGGAATAAATACGTATATCCGTGATAGCAAGAGCATCTAACATAAGAAATTGTAGCTAGAATATTCAACATATTGCAAAAAGAAGTTACTCAACATTGAAGAAAAAACTATAACACATTATTCAAGCAACTCTATCTATATCAATAAGAAGATACTTTACAACACTTATGCTCTCCAAAAATATTTTATGAAAAATTTGAACTTCTCATGTAATTAATACTCTGGATCAATAATCATTATCCTTCATTTTTGAAGAGATACTTTGTAGCAAAAACAAGGTGTTGAAACATTCATCAATTAAAGTAGTCTCTATCTCTTCACATCCATCTATGAATGAAGTTCCTCATGTTGATATCCTAATCATACGGATCTCAACCAATGTATTTATATCCAACAGTACTGTGTAATGCAAGTATTGCTGTCATTGGTCTGTTTCATCTTTCTTGCTATTTCCACAAGATAAACCCTAATCAAGTTTTAACCCCGATCTACCCTGATCACTCCTTCATCACAACCAAAATATAAAAAAACACTAAGTATTTCATCAAGTAGAGGGTCATTCAACCAAAATCTCGGCCACCATCCTCGAATTCAAGAGTATTGAATCATCATGGGGACGTTCACAGACAGAATGTCGCTATTTTCTCAAAGAGGATAGAACTGCAAATAGGATCACACATTAACTACATGAGGCATTCGACTCCCTGAAAACACTAAACCGAAACCAACAGATTCTACTCCCGGCAGCGAGAATGCACTTGCAAATCATCCGATGATAGCTTTGCTAAGGCCAGCGAGACAAGCCTCACCACAGTCGATCACACTCTTGGTCACCGACACATGTTGAAGTGAATCACCTGTGTTACAATCTGAAGTTTAAGATTGTTTTATTTCTAATATTAATAATAACAATTGAATATTTTCGAATACAAAGGTCCAAAAAACTCTTTCTGCTCGCATTACAAGGATTTTATGAGAAGAATCACATACTTTTTTCCATGCAAAGGTTAGTAGGAGTGTGTATACATATGGATACGGCTGACAGTTTATTAAATTAAAATAGAACTTCATGAGAGAACAAAAACAATACTTTAACTTCGACAAAATTTCCATTACAAAAAAAAAAAAAAAAAAACAGCAACACAAACAAATTTACATGTTGTGAAATGAACAGTGAAATGTTTGTTGACATTTGTTGATAATGTGTCATTTTACAGAACACAATTACTAGCAATCACAAGCAATTTGTTGACTGACAACAATGAGCTACAACTTTCAGATGACTTCGTGGGATCAATGAATTCAACTAGATTTGTAAAGATTTGACTAATTAACTCTGGATTCAACAGGTGGGGACATTGCATGAAAATGGGCCAAGATTGAAGTTCTGGAAGTGACATGTGGGTGAATAAGAGAATGGTGGTCTTACTCTCTATTGAGGCCTGATATAAAGTAGAGGATATAATGGGGTCCAGAGATCCTCCACGACACACATCCTTCGCAAAGTGACACCTAACTCCTTGGAGATCTCAACTATGCTGGTGAGAACATTCGTTTTCCTCTTAATTTTCTTCAATTTTTTTTTATATACCTGTAGTTTCTAGGATTCTTGGAACTTCACTGTTTGTCCAATTCTCATGTTTGCAGCCCCTGATAATTGTTCAATGGAATTAGTTTCGTAGAGGAGGAATATGATTTTTTTGAAACCAAGTCAAACGAAATCCAAACATACAAACTTAAAATGTGTGTCAGTTCAAAACTATGTATCACATCCTAGGAGGATTGATAGACGCCGCGCTGCCGCTTGGCCTGTCAAGGTGGCAACGCACGGTGGAGACACCCTCATGCTGGCGTTACTTTTCCATGCACACATTTCCACGTGACATCTTCTTCAACGTCTTGTGTCTGAATAATTACTTCGCTTCCCTTCTCCCGTCGCCACAAACCAATCCAGCACAATTGCACCTTCTTCATTGCACGCGTACTCAGGAGTCATTCGTCAAGCCTATGCTGTTGCTGCGGGAGTGTCCGAGGTAAGTTTCGCGGTTGGATGAGCAAATGAATAAGTTCAGACTCAGACCCTGTTTGTCAAATGAGGTTGAACTGGTATCTGAGCATCAGGAAGGGAGATAGACCTATGGCTTGGCAGGGTGCATGCTCGAATGATTGAAAATGTTCGATTGACGAGTGAAGTGTGGTTTCTTCGGCATGTTAGTTGAGCTATTGTCGCTGCAAGGGAGCTCAGACCTTCAAAAAATGGGCCAGTCCATTGGAACGTTGTTCGGGGGCAATTTGAACGTGCTCGGATTGGGTAACAGCATCACAGCCGACGAGGTCACCAAGAATCTCAACCTCGAGGATTATACAGCAATTGTTACGGGTATGCGTTTCTGCAATTCTGATGCATTTGCTGCGTTTTCTTGCTTGTTGAAATTGGCATGGAAATGAAAGTCGCTGAGGAAAGCTCGTAATCCGGTGCAGCTCATTGAAGCATTTCATGGCCTAAAAGTTTTCTTATCGAACACGTTGAATCTTCTGTAATGCGGCCCTTTCACCACTGTATTTAGCAAGTTTGTATTTTCATACGAGTGTGAAAGATACTGGGTTTTTCTGACAATGGGTTATGGCTTTGCGGGATGGGTCATGGCTTCTGTGCATGCAGGTGGTTCTTCTGGTCTGGGAAGGGAGTGTGCCAGGGTATTAGCCAAGCGCGGTGCCCATGTGGTGCTTGCTGCAAGGAGAGCAGATGTGCTCCTGGATGTCAAATCCCTCATTATCGCAGAGACTCCGACTGCACGCGTGGAGTGCATGCCTCTCAACTTGACAGACATGAAGTCCGTTCGCAGTTTCTCGGAGGAATAGAAGAAGAAAAAGCTGCCACTTAATATTCTTGTGTAAGCTCCCATATCCATCTCAGGATTTCCCAGTGGTTGTGCAACGCAGTGTGCATGTGACATGGAGCTATGTCGTGGATTAAGAGATTGCAGGTACAGATGATTGACACCTTGATGTGATTTTGACATTAATAAGCAACAATGGGGGAATCTTTGCGAAGCAATTCACTCCTACGGACGACGGCATCGAGGTTATGTGGGCTACGCACGTCCTTGGTACGAGTTCACTAGGGGCTTTGACTGTCTACTAGGTCATGCTGTTATGCAATAATATCAGAATAAATTTGAATCCTGTGTTTTCGTTTTTGAATTCATTCTAATTTTACAACCACAATATGAGATGCAGAAGAGAGTCAGAATGAAAACTGTGTAACGGATATTGCTTATTTTGCAGGTCATTATGCGCTTACAATGATGCTCATGGATAAGCTAAAAGACACAGCCGCAGAAAGTGGTATTGAAGGGCGGATAATGTTTACGGGATCTGAAGCTCATCGCATCACCTATGAGGGTGGCATAAATTTTGAAGCCTTGACAAACCCAAACCTGTAAGTTTCATTCTTCAAGGATTTGTAGATTGCAATTTTATAGTTCCGATTAAAATGTGTTGTAGAATGTGGATAAATGATTTGGAATAGAATTGATATGCATGTTGTCATAACATAATTTTCGTTCCAGTAGCTTCATCACATATACAACGGTGCTTTATACTCGTCAAAATATTGGATCTTTGAGTGAAGTGTAGGGTTTCTTAGTCTTTCATGACGCTACAATACACTTGCTTGACCAAATATCTTTGAAAAATTAGGTACTCGGCATACCAGGCATACGGACAATCGAAAGTTGGCGACATTCTTCTGTCAAGAATGATAGGACAACAGTTGAAGGTTTCTTCAACTTACTCTACTTTTGAGTTCACGAAAAGCGTATGACATTGATTTTATTCTGTTCAGTTCTACTGTTTCTGATCCACAGTATGTCAATGAGAGTTACTACTTGATTCTATACAAGATTCTACCCTATTAACGAGGATTTAACTTTGTGTGAATCTAGAATCTCTTCTATGATGTGAATTTCTTCCTATGGAAAGAAGTACTGAAATAGTTCGATTTCTGCAGAGGGAAGGCGTGAATGTGGTCGCTAATTCAGGCCACCCAGGAGCAGTGAAGACTGCACTTGGTCAGAATTTCTTTGAGAAGGGTACCACAGGTAAGAATTCCCTCACAACGAGTCTTTTGCCAGCTGAGTATAAAATTGCTTCCAGCAAGAATATTAGAGAATTCTGTACGCCGAATAACACGTTGACTACTTAATTGATGTGGAGCGTAGAATGTGCACAATACCTCAAGTAAAACTTGAATTCAGAGCTTGACAAGACACGGTCTTGGTTGGGTGTTGCAGAGGTGGGTTCCAATGTGTCAAAGCCATTCATTAAATCCGCGAATGAGGTGAATCTCCAGCCCTACTTATCGCTGATTTGTGAAACTGATATTATTTAAAACAGCAGCATTTCAACACCCAAAAAATGTACATCTTCAGATCACATTTCTTTCTTACTTCTGTATAGCTTAACCAGTAAGGCGGGGTTGATGATACAGGGAGCTGCGAATCTCTTGTATGTTGCGACAAGCCCAGAGTTGAAGGGTGTATCAGGGAAGTATTTCTCTGATCGGAAGGAGATCCAGCCAAGCTCGTATGCTAGTGACGATGCGCTTGGCGAAAAAGCCATTCAGTACTGTGAGCAATTCATGAATTCCAAACTGGCTGCCAAGTAGGCTTAGTCTGCTGTCATGCATCGCTGTTGATTGCATGATCCCTGCTGCGTTTGCGACAAGTTTGTGTTAAAAAATAACCTCCTAGTGCAAAGAGCGTGGATTTTAGATGAACTGTTAACAACTGTGAATTATGTGATATACAATGAAGTTCAGCTGTGCTCGTTGGAATAAAATGCATTGTGTGTTCTACATGTACAGTGAATTATGAATGGGGTTCTCGAAAATGACTAATCAGAATTATAAAAAATGATTCGCTTTCAAGTGATCTAAAAATATCAACAAGCTATGAGAATGACCTTTCAATAATATCATCCACCTGAAATGTAAAACATAGAGAATTTTCACTACATAATCATCCATTTTGAAAAACCCATAATTTATGATGGTAAAAAAATGTACAGTCACAACGGCCACAAATCTCCATCAAGCTGAGTGATTATTCAAAGCAGAATGACGGGTATTAAAAGCAAGGTGGGCGCGGACATATTGACGACACTGATAACATTACTCACAGGTGTTTCGGAGCGCAGGAGGAATTAGGGCTAGGAACCTCCCGACCTTCCTGAACAGCCAATCCACGCAAATCGCCGCGTCCGTTTTCTCTGCACGCAACTTGGTGTGTGTGCAGGATTCAGGAGCGAGAAAAATGAATAGATATACAGTGCAGCTAGTCAAGCATGCTTTCCCTCCAAAGTATGCACATTTTCGTCTCGCTGCTGCATAGCATATCCTTCCAGAGAGCCTGCGAACTGGTTTAGCGAGCCTGCAGTCTGAAAGCGAAGTGTAGGGCCTAGGATGGATTTGTCTAACGCAGAAAAGATTTCGCATTCTGAGAGCAGTGTAGTACACATATTTGTGAGATCCTTGACTATCTGCGACGCTTGTAGCTGAGACAACACTCCGATCAAATTAGATGTCGAGCTTGGACTGTAGGTAGATTTCCTTCTCTAGCAACACAACTCTTGCAATCGCGAAATGCATCAGCCTGGTGTAGATCAAGAACATTGTTGCAAATCAAATAATTGATGAGTTTTGTCTCCGGCACGGGTTCGCCAAAAGCGCTTGAGGGTCTGACAGACAGACTTATCCTTGACACTCTTCCATTCTTACACTCCTTTCCAAGAGCACATTTTATGTGTGATCCAGCAATCGTCTGTAAATGCTTGTGTCATTCTCTTTATTAAGAGTTTAGATGAAGAGATCGATTACAATGTTGATAGAGAATTTTGTTTTAAATTTGTAAACAATCTACTATGGATAAATATTTGTGTGTATATATATATATATATATATATATATATATGCTAGTGAAAATCCGTGCCAATGGCCACAGAAAGCTAAAACAAAAGTTTAATTTGTAATTACTAAGTTAAAAATTGACTACTCCTAAAGTATTGTTGACCAATAAAAGAAAAAAAGAAGAAGGATATATGCATTATAATGGAAATAGTTCTTACTTTAATTAGAAAATATAATTTTTATTTATTACAACAACTTAAATAAATTAATTAAAAGAACTTTGAGATAAATTGCATTTACAATGATGTTTTTTTCTTCATTATTTTCAAGATATAGGATTTTTATCTTATTTAGAGAAGTTCATTGTGAAATAGATATATAGTAGAAACATCTATCATTGGGTACAAAAAAATGATCTTGTATTCTTATGCATTCTTGCATATATCCAAATTCCTATGAGTTCTTGTAAGTTTCCTAAGTTCCTATGGATTCTCATATGTTATTTTTGCATTCCATGAGTTCTCATTCGTTTCCAAATTTCAAAAGATTCTTATAAGTTTTTGAAGTTTCTATGAGCTTCTATATATTTTTGTGTATTTTTTTAAGTTCCAAATAATGCTTGTACATTTTGCATTTCTTCCATGCTTAAAAATATATATATTTGAAGTAGAAAAGAATCAATTCTAAATCCAAATTTCCTAGAGCTTATGTTACAATCAATTGACCAAGTTTAGGATACATAAAGATTTCCTAGCATTGTAAGATATATACTTTGAACAATTAATGATTTTTTCAATTTTAAAAATGACCAAAATTCCATTGCAATTGTCAACTAGGCCTTTATAAACAAAACATTGCACTTAAAAGAAATTTCCTATTTAAGCCAAATTTCTTTGCAAATAATACTCAACATTTTATTTGGTATTAATTTTGTATTATAGAAATAATAAACAAATAACAATTCTTATTTTTGCTATCTACTTGCTCATTGGAGTTGTCTTATTAATATATGTATTCCATATTCATGTCAGGTTGCACTTTACCATCTCAATTGAGATTGGTAGCAATTCATCAAGAATTATCATGATGTTGGAAATGTTCACAATCTTCTGGTACATCACAATCTATAAGGTAAATTTACATGGGTTTTGTAAGCTAGAGGAGATAGGCATTTGAATCCTTTATATGCACACAATATTGAACTTATTCAAGAGATCCTCAACTTAAAAACATATACAGTCAATAAGTCCTTAGCTTCAATACATATGATGTATCATATACCATAATTTGACAACATCAACGTATCATAGTAATATAAAATAATTATATCAAAACAAATTTTGTTCAAACCATGAAAACCATAACCATTTGTAATTTACCATAGCCTTAGATTTTAGAGTAATATAACCTTAGAAAGTTGGAGGTATCCTCTTCTTTGAACTAATTCTATTGCCCAAAAGGTGCTTCTTGTCATATTTGAATATGCACTAAGTTGCATATTTTATTAAGATGAAACAATTTTGCTTGTACTTATCTACATCTTAATTCTTTAAGACATCTACAAAAAAATTCTCCAAAGAATTATCTTTATATATCCAAAAGTCCATTGAATTCATCTACTAAAGAAGCATCACATATTTATAATTTTTCATCTCTAAGTAGAAAGTTTCTTGCCATGGCACATCTTACAAAACAAATAAGCACACTCAAGAGCAACACAAGATTATACAACATCATTGTAGCAGATGATTATACAACATCATTGTGGTTGTTTCATTGTTGAGAAGATTATCAATTTGCTATATCCTAAGAGAAACTCAATGAAATGCAACTTTGTTCTTTGATTGCTATGCACACCTAATATATATAACTGCTTGGCCAAATGTTAGGCAAAACTTGAGATAAAAGAAGAATAGTAGCTATATTGAACAAACTTAAGTGGCTTATTCATCCTAACTTTTTTTATTACTAATAAATATCTTTACAATATAAATCTTGTACACTAGCTCTTAAAGCATTTCTTGCCACAAGAGCAAGATATGACATTGGAGCTTAAGAATAAATTTTTGTAGGAGAAGATATTTAAATTATTTTTTGTGAGCATCTCAATAAAACAACAAGTTCAAGTTGCTGCTCTTAGTGCAAGTTTGAATCTAGTCACTATACTCACTAAAGCTTGTATATTCTAATTTTAAATAAGCTACTTGAATATTCATAGTTTTTAATTTGGAGAATAGATCATTATTGTGTGTACTTGATTTTTGTAGCATTCTCTTCTTGCAAGAATAGTTTGACTCTCTTAAAAATTTCTCTTACTTGCAAGTGCATCTCCATAATACCCTACTATATCAATCTACAACTACCTTCACTCCAAACCATGACCAACTTTCTTAAGACCCACAGTACACTACTTTCTACTTCCTAAACCTACAAAATTATACCTCTTGCAACATTGCATTACTATTGCTGCACCACACCTTGATTGTAGCACATATAGCCTTCTCCATGAAGAAAAGTTATAAAAACCCATTTCAGTTTGGAAGATGAAGAAGTAGTTATTGGATCCCAACAACTTGATTCTTAAATATACTTAGGCCCAAACCACTTTGTGTTCTCCAAGTTCTTAGAATTTCCTTCTAAATAACTAATGCATCTTTGACTCTTTATCATATATCCAAAGTGTTTAATATAATAGATACATATGTATTTATATGCAAATCCATCCTTTGAAAAATACAAAGGAATAAGGTGATAACAAATAGCAATAATTCTTGGAATATAATCAAGTTAGTAATCTTTTAACCCCAAAGTAGTTTAACAACTTTCTGAAAAGAACAGATTGAGTTTTCTTTTGGATAAATGTTTCAACGTTTGACGAATTGCTGCACAGATAAGTGAGATTCCCTCGTCCTCCTACAAACTGGGAATTCAGGAGAAAGAATAGGACGAAACAGTAAACAAGGAGAGGACTGAGAACTACTCACTCACTCGGACTGGCTGACTGATCATGCTGCAGTGACTGACTAGGTGGACCTCACCCGTTCCCGCATTCATTCATTCATCCTTGGCTCATTTACCCTTCCTTCCGCCCACATCCGCATGTTTCATCGATATATTCCAAAAGACAAAAGAAGGGAGGGAGATGGGGCCAACTTCCAAGCGCACCCGAAGCAGCAAGCAAAAAGAACAGACAGGGAGGGAGAGCCAGGGCACTGGATGAAGACGAGCGAAGAGGGAGGAGAGAGGAAAGAGAGAGGAGAGCGACAGCACAATCGAAAGGAACGAAGAAAGAAAGAAAGAAGAGAGAGAAGAGAGAGACCGCCGTAGCGGGGGAGGGGGTTCTGTTCCATTCTGTTCCATGTTCCGACGGGTACTCGCGTCAGCAGCAGCGCAACCCAGCAGCACTACACCACACAGACACACACACACGCACACTGCAACGAAGAAAGGAAGGAAGGAAGGCGGACGCGATTTCGCAGCGCCTCTCGACGTCTCTCCTCGCCGGAAGGGGACTGCCTGACTACTCACTCACTCTCTCTGTCTCGGCATTTGCCTTGGACTGACTCTTTAACCCACCCCCACGCTCGCCCCGCACCCTCCTCCCTCCCGCCTCACCACAACACCCCCCCCCCCCCCCCCATCTCGTCTTCTTTTGGCTAGGTATTGCCCTCTCTCCCTCTCTACATTCCTCTCGCCCCTGCCACTGCTGCTGTTGGTGGGTTCTCGTGTCCCATCTTCCCCCGGTTGTTTCCCGGTCACGCTGTGCCTCAATGTGGCGCCTTTGATCATCTTCGCTGTAATTGCTTGCGTTGGGTCGGTGTGTAGGTGTTTGGCGGGATGGACAAGGGAAAGAGGGCCAAAGTGGAGGAGGAGGAGGGCTCCGAACTGGACGCCGAGTTGGTTCAGGCCATCGAGAAGTTGCAAGAAGTGCAGGACGAGCTTGAACGGGTGGGTGTGGATGTGTGTGTGTTTTCTTTCTTGCTTGCCTCCTCTGTTGTTGTTGTTGTTGTTGCTGCTGCTCTTGTTTATTATTTATTTTTTAGTGTTTTTTAATTTTTAATTTTTTTCCTCACTCCATTTCGTCCCCCACCACCAAGCAACATATCTTTTATGAGGTCGCTTCGGGGGATAGGAGTGGAGGATGGTGGTAGCGGTGGGGATTGGAGGTGCATGGCTGCACGAGGTGTTATTTGTGGCTACCTTCCGGGATGTCGCTTTTCGGTCAACTTGGGCACGGGGTGGGGTTTGGGGTTTAAGGGTACCGACGGGTTCGAAGTGGTGGAGCGCAACGGCTAGGGTAGGTTTTGGTGTGGGCGACGGAGAGGGAGGTTGGGATTGTCGTTGTTCGAAAAGTGCGGGTTTGTTCCGGTCGTTACAGGAGTTCGATGTCGGCGTAGGTTTGGCGGTGAGGTCTAGGCGCAGCTGTGGGTCGGGTGCACGGGGGCGTTGCAAAAGGGAGGTTTTTCGGGGGAATTTGTGGGCTGCGCACGAAGTTGTGTTGTCGCGACAGCGTAGTGCAGTATTGGGTGTGTGGTGGGGGTGGATGGACAAGCGTGCATGGAGGTGGCGATGGTGTGGGGCGTGAGATGGACGCGGAGGAATGGAAAGCTGGGATGGCAGGGCGTGTGATGTAGTCTCCCCCGACCGCAGTGCAGCAGGTAGTGTGTGAGGTAGCTGACGGTGCAGCGATTGGGGTTGGCAGGTGAACGAGGAGGCGAGCGACAAAGTGCTGGAGGTGGAGCAGTTTTACAACGAAATCCGACGCCCAGTGTACAGCAAGCGGAATGCCATCATCCACAACATTCCGGACTTCTGGTTGACTGCCGTACGGTCCCACTTCGCGCGCTTGTCCCCTGTTGTTGAAGGTTTTGGTAGTTCGTGCAGTATGGACATATGCGAATGGGTTGGTGGATTGGGCACGGATGGCATGGGCGGGGGTAATGGGGTGGGTATGAAGGGTTGATAGTGTTTGTGGCGTGCAGTTTCTGAGCCACCCAGTGCTGTGCGACCTCTTGACGGAGGACGATCAGAAGGTAAGGCTGGCACGCTCACTCTTGTGTACGCCTTGTTTGTGGGCGCTTTTTCAGTTGGGAGCATGAGTGTGCATTGGATGGGGCTGTGAATGGAACGGGGCGAGTGTGTGATTTTGGAAGCAAGGCGATGGAGTTCCGAGGGCTGATGGTGGGGTGTGTGCGTGCATGGCAGGTGTTCAAATACCTGGAATCGCTGGACGTGGAGGACTTCAAGGATGTGAAATCGGGCTACAGCATCAGCTTTGTGAGTGTCTTACCGAGATGACGAGAGCTTGTGCTGAGGACATGGTGGCGTTGAGATGGGGGTGTTGGGCATGGGTAGCTGTCGGTGAAGCGGGCGTCGGGGGGGGGGGACGTTATTGACTGGATGTGGATGGGTGCGGTGCAGAATTTTCGAACAAATCCTTACTTCGAGGATACGAAGTTGACGAAGGAGTTCAGGTTTTCGGATGACGGTTCGACGTCCGTGTCGGGCACCCAGCCGAAGTGGAAGGATGGAATGGTGAGGGTTAGGGGGTGCGAACGAGCGAGTTGTGTGGTGGTGGAGCGGATGATGTAGGGCGTGGTAGCAGAAGAGGGATGGTTGGTGGACGTGAGGCACAGCATAGGTGGCGGTGAGCGGGTGGGGTGGAAAGAAGTAGGTGTGTGGTTGTGGGTGGTGTGGCGTACTGAAGCGGTGTGTTTGTGGCAGAATCTGACGAACGGCGTGGTAGCTGAGAAAGAAGGGAACAAGAGGGGTCATCAAACGGAGGACAGGTATGAGCTCGAAGCATTGGGTGTTGTGGGTTGGCGTATGCCGATGGGTTGGTATTGTGGGTGTCGGCGGTCGTGAAATGTATGGTGGTCGGCATGTTCGAGGTTAGGGAAGTGTGAGGTGGAGTGTGTGCGTGAGAATGAGGTGGCGAGGGAGGGATTGCAATTAGTGGTGTTGTTGAGGTGGAGCGCGTTAATAAGAGGGGAAGCGGGAATGTTGTGCAGTTTCTTCAAGTGGTTCTCGGACACGCAGCAGAAGATATCCATAGAGGGGATACAAGACGAGGTGAGCATTTCTATGAAGCACGGAGTTTAGTGGGGGCGGAGGAGTTGATGATGTGAAGTAGGGTGGTGGGTGGTGACTCATGTTTGTGTGGCGTTGGATGTCGGAGTTGTGGAGGAAGCGCGGTGAAGCAGGTTCCCCTGTGAGAATTTTGTAGCAGGAGGGAGTGGGTTTGGGAGGAGTGGGAGGTGTTGGTTGCGGGGAGTGTAGGGGATGGGCGAAGGCAGTGGGTGGGTTTCGGGGTGGGGCATGGGTGACAAAGGTTGAGAAGGTGGTTGCAGTAAGTTGACATAAATGTTTGTCATATTAGGATGGTTGGTTGGGGCTGCAGGTTGCAGAGGTCATCAAGGATGATCTGTGGCCAAATCCGCTGAAGTACTTCAACAATGTAAGCATATATGTGTTTTGGTATTTTTCTTGTCTCTTTTGAAGCGCTGTGGTTTCTTGGGCAGTGATTGCGGTAGTAAGGACGCAAGGGCGTGTGCGTAGATGGGAAGGTTAGGGGTGGCGGGTGAAGCACTGTGGAGTGTGGCGGTTGTGTTGAATGCGAGGTTGTAAGGCGCGTGGAGAGCGTGTAGTGGCATGCATGCTGAGGCGGTGGGGGCTTGTGCAGGAGCAAGATGAAGAAGGGTTCGAGAGTGGGGATCAAGAAAGCGGGGACGATGACGCGGTAAAGCAACAGCACCAATGGTGGAGATGTTTGAGATAGAGTGATGTGCTTGTGGGGTGAGGGTCGGGGATGAGTGTGATGATGCGTGAGGATTGTGGCGGTGGTTGAGGGGAAGCGTGGATGGTGTGGTTGTGTGGCAGAGTAAGGGCGATGGCCTGGACGACGAGGATGACGAGGGCGACGAGGACGACGACGACGAGTAGATGCGGGGAGGAAGAAGGTGGAGGGAGCAAGTGTAATGGTATCTGATTTTTGTGGAGGGGCATGGATGGCAGTAGCTGATGAGGAAGAGGATGGTTCAGAGGCGGGTAGGTGCTTTGCGTTTTTTTGGAGAGAGCACTCGCTTGAGGACCGCGTGGGCAACATGCAACGTCGACGGGGTCCGAATTTTGGGGTGTGGTTGGTGGAAGAGGGGAGCGGGGGTGGTTGAGGAGCCGTTCTCCGTCCGTGTGGTTTAGTGGGAGGACACAGCTGTTGCTTATTTGATGATATTGGAGGAGTTCGTGAGTAGTAGGCAGGAGGGCAGTGTCAAGTAGTAGGAGCAGTTTGCGAGGCGCCGATTCGTCGTTGGTAGTTCGTGCCCACCGTTGGAGCTTGACGAGGCGTGGTGTCTGAGGAGCGTAATCCTGTGAATCGAATTGGGACAAGCCTCCGCGTACCCTGAGTTGTTTTCTGAGCGCCTCCCTGGATGCGAGGGCGCAGATATGAACGTGGGTTCGGAGCTGACAGAGGGTGGTGGATAGTCAGGAGGCTTGACGTGTAGGTGGTCGCTATTGCGGAATAAGGAAGTTTTGTTTTATTTTCTTTTTTTTTGAAAATTGAGTTTGTGTACTCGTGGTTGCACTGAAGCGAAGCGGTTGGGTTGGACGGTGTTAAGTACGGTTGTTGGATGTTTGGAGTTTTGAGGTTGAGAAGGGCGTGTTGAAAGGTGACGCGGGAGTGGAGAAGAGATAGGATGAGGGCGAGAACATGTTCTGTAGAAGTGACATGTGTTTGTGGAGGTGTGGGATAGAAGAGATTTGGTTGGGAGTATTGTGAGTGTATTTGTATGTGGTGTGAGGTCAAGAGGGGTGGAGTATGTGGTTGTATGTGTGGTATGGAGTGAAACAGGGAAGGGGAGGGGTGTGGAATGTTGATTATTGGCAGTATTGCAGTGCTTGTGTGCCAGTCGGGATTTAGATTGTTGAAGAGGTTGATTGTAGCCGAGTCGCTGGAATTGTCAGGTTATTTGTAATTCATTAATTATTCCATGGTCACCATCATATTTGGTTTAGCAAAGAGGAAATTTCAATTACATGTATCATCTGCTTCTACATTATTGGGGTTTTCAACATTTTTCTGAGATGCTTTTATAATATGAAAGCTAAATACATAATACATTTCTAAAATCTCTAGTTCTCTTATTATGGAACTCGTTTGCTTCTAGTTAATAATGTCATGTTTAGGATAAGGCCTCTAATGTTGCCTCTCAATCTTAAAGTTGTTGATATATTATTTAATCCTCTTATATTTTATGAAAGTATGTTCATCTTCATTTACATCAGTTGGATGGGTGGAGATAAAAACCCCAAGTCTCTTGCAATTGATCAAGTTGATGATTAGATCTTTGTTTTATTTGTTTTGTTTTTGTTTTTGTTTTTTTTTTTTCAAAGGGTTCTTCTATTGTATATGTTGGAAATTCCAGTTGAAGTTGATACCAAAGTTCTTTCATTTTTTCAATTAAAAAGCAATTCTGAATGAATCAAGATGAATGAATTGTTTGAATTAAAATTAAAAGATATTGAAGGATTATCCAGCTAATCTTGCAAAGACATGTATAGAATAGTATACATTTATTTTCCATCCTAAGATTGCCTTTATTGCATAAATTTCAATAGTCTATCATTCTATCTTAAGTATCAAGTTTGTTTAAGTGTGGAAGGAGTTAGTATTTGTCCTCTTTTTGTTTTTGCTGCTATGAACTTTGCCCTTATAATGTCAAGTGGAGGACCTTAATGAGAGATTGTCAACTTGTCAATGTTAGTTTATATTAATTCCAATCTACAATCTATGAAGGCATTGGTTGCACTTGTAGACATGAGTGAGAATTTATGTCTTGATCCTTGGCAATTTCAGTAGAGAAGTAGAGATTGGAAGATTCAAGTTGGATACTTTAGCTCTTCGATGTTATATTTGTAGATCCTTTTGGTCCTTCATTATTAAGACATAGGATTTGTATTGGCAAGTAATACATTCTTGATTTATATGTTGGTTGTTAGTAGGTGGTATTATGGCAAGACTCCTTTTACAAGTTTGATTATTGTTGAATTTTTTTTTGTTTACAAGTGTAGAAGTACAATTTTTTTGGCAAAGACATAGTTCCACCTATTTATTAATCCTAGGGTGAAGAATAAACATAGTTGTTGTAAATAGATGACAAAGAAAAAAGACAAAGGGTCAAATTTAATTGTAATAATAATATTATTTATATTTTGGATATTTCAATACAAGACTTGTTTTAGTATTTTAATCAAGAAAAGGCCAAATTTCTTGTTGTATTGTAATACTAAATGATAATAGATCAATCTTTTGTAATGACCTACTATAGAAGTTCTAGCACCATCATAACTTATAAAAAACACAAGTCTTATGGCATAAGCGGCTTTAGCAAGAATATTGCTATTGTTGATCAGCTCTCTAGATTACAAGTGAAGATATTGGCATACAACATCTAAGTAATTTACAACTTAAATAAGAGCAAGTTATCTTATCAAATTATGCTAAATTGGACTATCTTCTAATATCAAATAGAAGGATTTAAAAATGATGAGACTTGGTTTACCTTGACATTTAGAACCAAAGCAAATAAATTTAACAAATTAAACCCACTTATCATTGGCAACACCAATAAGGCACACTACTTCCAAAAAAAAACTAACATCTTAGCTTTTATTATTGCCACAACCAAAAGGCTTGGATAATTGACTTAATTGTTTTTGCAAATAGTTTAAAAGCTTCAACAATAAAATTTCGGCATTCGATTTTTATATGTCATGAACATACATACTAATATTAATAATTACTTATATGAAAGTAATTAGATAGAAGTAAATAGGAGCAAGTAAATGTAATAATATCTCATAGAAAAGTTTCTTACAAGCTTTATAGATGCAAATTTGACTTTTCAAATATTGATAGGTCATTGATAAGTTTAAAACTTCACTAATGAGTTAGCCATGTATTACATGTGTTGTCCACTTGCTAAAAAAATTGATTACATGTCACACATATTAGTCACTTGTTGTACAAGTTGGCAATGTGGCGTATATACTAAAAACTTACCTTACAAGTTAGATATGCATCTTGCAAATTGAATACATCTTGAATGATCTATAGAATGTCACCATGTAGCTTTGTAGTTATATAATATATATATGGAGGCAAGAATAAATCCTTTCTCATTCTTGTCAATGTTTTTTTTTTTTTTTTTTTTTTTTTTTTTTTTAACTTTGTTCAAAGAATCTTGAATTTTCTTATATTTAAAAATAGCCATTTAAGTTTCTATCTTATATTTATATTTGATTTTTTTATTTTTCTTTTTTAATATTATAAGAATGTATTATTTCTATACAATTTTGTTATGATTCATGTCTTTGATATCATATCTTTTTCTTAGACAATGCATCTCTGCATGGCTATGGAGATGTCTTCTTCACAAATATGGATATGTTTATAATGTCTTTAAACTTCACCTCTAATATCCAATCTATAGATGTTGGCATTATTTCTATTTTTAAGAAATATTATTGTTGCAATAAGCAATTGATTAAAATAAAATTGATAAGTATAATATCTATAAATGCAATCAATTCACTACATTGCATAGAACAAGATTGTATTAATTACTAATATCAACTATTTTTGATAGAATAGGTTGTTTAGTAATAGAAAAAAATTCAAATAACAAATTTGAAGTCGCTTTATTGATGCTAACTAATATTTTAAATGAAAAAACTATTGAAGAAGAGATTTTGGTATCCATTAATATGATATATATAATAAATTTAATTTCAATTGATATTCTATTTAATCTTGTCAAAGAAATTGACAAAAAATATTTAAAGTTGTCAATCAAGGAATTATTGGTACTAACTACATCAAAAGACAAAAGAGAAGAGGAGGCACATAGGGATACTAAAGTAGACTTTTAAGTTAAATTTTTAGTTTTATAAAAATTTATTATCATTCATCTTGTTACCATGTTCTTTAATTCTACTAAATTTATCCATTTTATAATATTTTAAGTCTTGAAAATTTTACAATATGATATTTGATTTTTAAAATTAAAAAAAATTATTTTAGATAATTTACTTAAAGAAGTAATAATTATAGAATAAAATTTGATATTAATTGGATGCATAAAGAATTTATACTAAAAGTCTAAAGGAATTAAAGTATCATGGTTTATTTTAACTTAGACAATTGCTACAACTATAAAAACTTCATTATTAAAGAAAAATTTGACAACATGAATATTATTAAAATTTTAAGCTAATTTTAAAGCAACTAGGTGTGTAAATTGGTAGACTTGCTACTTAAAATATTCTACCAAAGACAAAATTATTTGTCTCACTTTATGCAATCTATCTTCTTACTTATAAAAAATTACTTTTTTAACTTGATTATAGATATTTAAAATATCTACTATTAAAAATATGAGGTATTGATTTACAACTATAGAATCAAATTGATAGATGGAAGCAATATTTAGAAAACAAAAATATTTTCAAAGACATAAATAAAAAACAACCAAAGAATCAATATACTGTTGTGTCACTAAAAAAGAATAGATAATTATTCAAAGATGGTATAATATCAAAATTTAAATAATTATTTGTAAAGACAAGAAGACTAAAGACTCTTAAAAAATAAGATTAAAAATAAAAAAGCCATTGATAAGAGCAAAAGAAGCTTTATTCTTGCCTTTATGTATTTTATTTAACTAAAATCTACATAGCAACATTCTCTAAAATCTTTAGCATGTGTTAAACTTGTGAGATACGTATCTAACTTGCAAAACAAGCATCTAACTTGTAAGACAAGTTTTTATATATGAACCACATGGCCAACTTATACTACAAGTGGCCAACATGTGCAATGCATAGCTAATTTGTAGGCTAAGTTTTGAACATATTAATCACCAACAAATACATATAAAGTCAAATTTGTATCTATAAAGCTTCTAAGAAAATTTTCTACAAGATATTATATTTTTTATTATTTTATTTATGTCTATCCAATATCTCTTATTTAAGTAATTTTTAATATTAATTATGTCTATGTCATTACTTCTTCTTTTAAAAACAAGTTCCTTGACGAGCAATGATCATATATTAAAAAAGTCTAAGATATGAAAAATTACATTTGACACATACTTTGATCTTTATTTTTTTGAAGATGATCAATAGGTCCTCTCAAATATTAATAATATATCATATCAATGAAAAAAAAAACTACTATATTATTTGATTATTATTAAAGTCCTTATAACTTCTTTAAAATAAAATATTTGAAACACCATCAAAAGTGGTTTCTACCTTCAATAATATAACTATATATTAAGAGTTTTTTTTTTTAAGGTTGAAATATCAAATACCTTCTATCTTATCATCAATTTCAAGAAGAGCATATCATTTTTCAAGATATTTATCTTTGTTATATTGTTTTAAAAGCTATAAAAATCTCAATTCCTTGGTTAATAACTCAACAAATGATAGTTCTTGAATTGAATTTTTTGATTGTTAATTTTCTATTTTTTTGGCACCTCATATACAAAAAAATCAAAAAGAAAGATAAAAGATAAAATGAAATCTT